TTTTACTCCATAATATTCTGTTAGATTATCTTCATTTTTATGGTTTTAAAGACACAAAATAGTAATAACAATAATAATAATAATGCATCGCTTTTAAAGAGCGCTTTTCTGAACACTCAAAGACACATCACATGTCATTATTCTTTCCATTCCTTCACACAGTGGTGATAAAGTACTGTTGTAGCCACAGCTGCCCTGGGGCACACTGACAGAAGAGAGGTAACCAATATGTTCCATCGGCCCCTCCCCCCATCACCAAACATTCACACACAGCAGACTCATTGTAGTTTAGGTGAAGTGTCTTGCCTAAAGACATGATCACACTGTGGCACCATGGTGTTCCCAGAGGTCTCCCATCACAGCACTAACCAGGCCCTGTCATGCACAGTTTCAGGAGTCTGATGGGATCTGGCTTTTGCATGTAAGTATGAACCCAAAATGTTGGGTATGAATACTTTTGCAAGGTAAGTTTTCGTTTCATGGTCAAAATGTTCAGCACCATCTGCTATTTCCCCCCTTTTTCTAAATGTTCTGTTTTGGTCCACATAGGGTTGAAAATAAGATAAATAGTTGGGAGGGAAAGCGTTTAATAATACCTATAGGGGAAAAGAGAATGGCAAGGGAAGACATTGATTTCACGATTTGGGACACAGCCTGCGACAAAAATGTGCCGCCCCCTGCTGGCCAATGAGAACACAGAATCTAATGGAGAAATTGTTGAAATAATCAAAATATTAAAGGATAATAACAATAGACTAATCGATTTCGAAAGATAAAGATAATCCGTTTTAAATAAGCATAATACTTAAGGATTTAAATATTCCTAAATTAATCTGAAGCAACATAATCCTACACGCTGCTCTCATTTGACCAGTATAGAACAGGTATGTGGCGCCATCGTGTGGGCTCAGGTTGCAATGATGCCGGGGTAAAGTCTTACTTCTGTTTTTCTGATTTGATTTTTCTGTTCTCTGGTCTCTCTCTCTGGTCTCTCTCTCTGGTCTCTCTCTTTGGCGTATCTCGGTCTCTCTCTGGTCTTTCTCTTTGGCCTCTCTCTGGTCCCCCTCTCTGGTCTCTCTCTTTGGTCTCTAGTCCCTCTCTCTGGTCTATCTCTCTTTGGCTTCTCTGGCCTCTCTCTGGTGTCTCTGTGGTGTCTCTCTGGCCTCTCTCTCTCTGGTCTCTCTCTCTATGGTCTCTCTCTTTGGCGTCTTTCTGGTTTCTCTCTCTCTCAAACACACACACACACACACACGCACACACACGCACACACAATATGGGCCACATCAAATCAGTAACGACAGCAGCTTTATTGCCAGAGTAAAAAATGTAGTGTCTATTGTCTATGTAGTTTGTACATTAGTGAGACCAATAAAGTTGATCTTCTCTTAAGTGCATTTTTTGTTTGAAATAAAAGCGATATGGCCCTGTATTGTGACTGATCAGCCGCTTGAGGGCCTTCACTGATGTGAGACCAGGACTGAGTTTGTTCATGCTGTTTCTTTGTAACGCTGACTTGAACACTCACTTCTAACTGTGTCACTTTAGAGAGATATGTACTGAAATGTGACTTTTAGCACAACACTTGAACACATTCACAAAAGAGAAGTGCAGTTTGCAGAAGTCAGTATGTTTCCACAGGTTTTGGTTATAGCTGAAGTTAAGTTTTTTAATGTATTATTAAATGTATTTAAGGAAAACCCCTTGATTGAATGAATCATCTCATCTTTGACAGGGTTCTAAACATTAATACAGGCACAAACATAACAATTTACAGAGCATTAAGGATAAGAAAAAAATAACAACATATTTAAAAAAACTTCCCACTCCTCCCCTCTGCTAAAATTAAACATTTAGAAAACGACAAAAGACATAAATGATTGTTTTAATGGGAATGATTGAAGAAGATCAAAGCAAACATATCTCTCTGATACATGACAAAAAGAGAGGAGTTTCTGTAAAATCGCGTTTGCATAAAACAAGGTGAACGTCCCTGGTTGTGTGGCTTATGGTGTGTACGATTATAAAAAAACTGACACACAATCGCAGAATGTATTCAGTGTTTGACGGAGGAGAGGAGAGACAAACCTTGAGACAAAGTAGCAGATGTCGGATTCCAGAGAGCTAAGAAAAGCAGCTGACTCTAAAAGAACGAACCCTGACAGCTCCTTGGTAAGGTAAGAGAAACTGACCCAATACCACTAAATGTTGTTCTGTTTTTGAAATAAGATGGTCATTGTTGTTCTCAGAAAAATATTTTGAATAACTGGTTTATTGTTTGTACTGGGGAACTTGAAACTGGAATATTTTGGGGAGTTTTTGAAATAGGCCAAAAGACACTGTGTATCCTATATCTATATATCTATACGTGCCCAAGTAAAAGGTCCCACATGTACAAGTCACATAGGACCTGTTCCGAACAAAAGTTACATTTGGAGTAATTTCTAAATGAAAATACAATAGATATGATGTGCAGAAAATTTTGCTTCTCAATTTTCAAGCAGATTATCCAATCACAGAGTGGAATGAGGCTCCCATTTGAGTTGCCAGTTTGTTAGGTGAGATTTTAGATGATTTTTTCTCTCTCTCTATTTATTAATATACAACAAAAGTCACAAACAAAAATAGTGATGTGTACTGACAGTCTTCAGATTGGATCGCATCGGTTATTAGTGTGTCGCAGATTCTGGCAACAAAAGTGTGACGTGTAAAAGTTGTAAAAGTTGTATTTGCAATGACTTCATGAGGCCACTAACATACAGACACTTTGATTCATGACAGAAACTCATGCAGCGACGCGGGGTTTATGGGGGCATTCAGAAAGTTTGATTGATTGATTGATTTTATCATTTTGAGCAGCAGAAATTATGCATTCTTGCGTATTTCTAAAATCATGAAGATAGTTTTGTGCATTGTTTTGTTGCCTACTGCGCTTATGGTATATACCCCGAGCAAGGACGTGCAGTCGGGGGGCCCCACCTGCCATCATAGAAAGACATAATTATTCTTATTTTATACATGGCAATAATTAACCTTTTTTTTTTTTTTTTTTATGCATTTCGGCGTCAATCGATTACCCTGAAGTTAAACGAGTTTGTATACTTCAGCCTTATTCGTACGGGATTAGTGCTACCTGTTAGTGTTGTATCGTTCGTGAACGATTCGTTCAAAATGAACTAATCTTTTATATGACTCGGGAGTAACGAGTCTTCTCAGGGAGCGATTCGTTCATTTTCATGCAGTACCTTCTCTCGCCACATGGCGGCAGCTGCATGAGCTCAGTCAGCAGCAGACAGGAAACAGAAATGATTCGTTCACCACTCACTCAGCTGGATCCATTCTCAGGTCCCAGTTCTTTAGTCACGTGACAGACAGGCTGTCTGTGAGCAGCAAGCACTGCAGTTCCTTCACGATTCGTTCATACGGATCCTGACGGATTGCTCTTTCGTTCATTCGTCACGTGACAGCTGTGGCTGGCTCAGACAGCTACGGGGCTGGGGGACTGTTGACTGAGAGCTGAACAAGGAAATGATTGATGTCTGATATCTACAGTTTATTTGTCATGTGACACCCGATATAGATTATTTATTCACGAAATCATAATTATAGTGGTCTTCAGTCCTTGTTGTGTTATTGTATAGCCTATATAATGAATGTGTTTGTAAATAAATACTTTAGAAAATTATATCAGCATATTTATTGTGTTATACTCTGCCACAAAATAATAAAACATAACAATGATAACAACAAACACAATAAAAATAACAATAATAGTAATAATAATAATGTCACTTTTTGGACACAATAAATGCACCATGTAAACATAGGCAACTCATCAACTATTATTTTTTGTTTTAATTGTATCATTAATTGTCAAAATTAGTTTTACATTCGCTGTCCTCTCCCCAGCTGTCATGTGATCGACTGCTCGGCCGAAAGGGTCTCTGTCTGCTTAGGCTGTGGAGCAGAGCAGTACTTGTTCTCGTTCAAATCGTTCATTTGTCACATGACTCGCGGGCTGACCGGGTCTTTCTCGTTCATCGTTCACAGCTCATTACTTCGTTCTCGTTCGTCCAACTGGTTCCTTTGTCACATGACTCGCGGGCTGACCGGGTCTTTCTCGTTCATCGTTCATCGGTTCACAGCTCTGGCTCAGGCTGACACTGTGCGCCAGCAACATTGCTTCTCTCTGATTGGTCTGTTTTCACTGTCACGTGACAGTTACCCAGACTGCCGTGCTGTTAAACAATGATAACAGAGAGGATACAGGACACAAGTTACATTATTGTGGTGTGTGTTAGCTTTCCTGGGTTTTCAAATGGCTTGAATAGCTTATGGCATTTTGTGTGTTATACTTTGTCACCGTAAGCAAACCATCTTGTCTTCAGTATTTATAGTTGGAGAAAACACGTCGTCGGCATGAGTCCTGCATTGTGGGCCACTACAGCGCCATCTGCTGTACAAATGAACGAAATGATTCGTTCGGGACTCGTTCAATTTACTGTTCGAGAGTTAAAGAATCGAATCAGAGGAAAGAACCGGTTTTCCCATCACTACTACCTGTGGACCCCTGGTAATTTGTGATAATTGTGGAGGATGTCTGAGATCTTGCAGTGCATGATCACGGGATAAGCAATATCTGTAAATTACTATATTTTCTCTGACATCTCACGTAACGGCCGCACGTGCGCGGCTCTCTCCGCTTCACGCAGTTCATAAAGACTGGCATCTGACCACAGCAGCCACAGTTCCATGTAGACAAACACATACATGTCTCTCCTCACGTCTCTCTTTCCCTGCGTCAGTCTCTCTCTCTGTCCTCACGTCTCTCTCTCTCCTTTCATCTCTCTCTTTCTATCTCAATCCTCTCGTCTCTCTCACTCTCCTCGCATCTCTCTTGTCCTTGCGTCCCTCCCTTCTCGTGTCTCTCTCCCTCCTCGCGTCTCTCTCTCCTCTTGTTTACAGTCCCTTAAAGCACTAAAGTCGGCCTAACCCTGTCCTTTATGGATGAACCCTCCCAGTTCTTCTGGGAAAAGAACAGCCAAAAGAGGATCATCCAGTCTCTGCGCTCGGACAGCGGTCGCCTCATCACGGACTCTGCCGAGGTCGGGAGCTTTGCCACACGCTCTGTCATCGGAGGCCGGTTTGGGGATGGTCTGCCTCAGGTCAGTGACGAGGAGCATAAGAAACTGGAGGCCCCACTGAGTCTGGCTGAACTGAGCTCTGCTGTGGGGAGTTTAAAGCCAGGTAGAGCTCCAGGCTTAGATGGACTTTCGGCCGATTTTTACAAGGCCTTGACGTTCTGGGGCCAGACCTTCTGGAGGACAGTCTTGAAAGCGGCCGTTTGTCCCTGAGCTGCCGTAGAGCGGTACTCACTTTGCTCCCAAAGAAGGGTGATCTACAGCTGTTGAGGAACTGGAGGCCGATGTCACTGCTCTGCACGGACTATAAAATCCGTTCAGAGTGAGGAGGGGCATTAGGCAGGGCTGCTCTCTGTCAGGGATGCTCTACTCCCAGACAACATTATAGTGTTCGTCAACAGCCAGAGGGATCTGGAGGTCCTGGCTGACACTCTCAAGAGCTTTGGCCTAATCTTTAGCTCCAGGGTCAGCTGGAGCAAGAGCTCAGCCATTCTTTTAGAAGAGGGTCTGAGGGGCCTGAGCCTGCCTGGGGGACTAGTGTGGAGCACAGGGGGTTTCAAACACCTGGGGGTTTTCCTTGGCCCCGGTCATGTCCAGAAGAACTGGAATCAGTCTCTTTAGCAACTTCAGGGGCATTTGAGTAAAAGGAGGTGGGTGTAGAGCTCCGGACGTCACGTGACCCGTTTGTCTGTGACGCCATTTTGGCAGGAAGCCACAGGCGGTGAGCGCCGTTACTACAATAATAATGGACAGCAGCAAACAACTTTCCCAAAGCGATAAACAGCGATACATCGCTAAGCTTAATAGACTGCAAATTAGTGATCCATATTTAGCTCCCGGTGTGCTTTTTAAACCTTTAGATCAAGTGGCCGAGACCGTAGGACTCCCTAATATAGAATATCCTGACATATATAACTACCTTATAAACTTTCCTTCTGACTACACCGGAGACTCGCTGAAAGCGTACAAAAGCCTGGAGGGATATAAATGGACTCAATCGGGATTTGTGGCCGATGTTCTGCTGTGGATTTTAACTCAGAAGGATTATTTTGTTGTCACTGCACGAGTAAGTACCTGCCTTGATTATTATCTCATAAACTACTATGACAGCAACATTAGCACGCTAAGCTTGTAGTGACAGAATAGCGACAGTTTTACAGATGATTTTTGTTACAGGTAAATCATTCACAAAGATTAAATGACCCCTCTCTGAAACCATGGGCAGTGATCAGAAGAGATGGAGTAGTGCTTGGTGCTCACTGTAATTGCACAGCTGGACAGGGCGAGTGCTGCTCTCATGTTTCAGCTATGTTGTTCAAGTTATGGTAGCATAACCATGAAAGGGAGGAAGAGACAGCAACATCTAAAAAGTGTAAATGGGACAGACCAGAAGTGAAACGGCTATGAAGAAAGTGGAGTACCTGCAGGGAAAAGATATTGTATTTAATAATGGTCAAAGCTCAAAAAAGCAGAACAAGGCTCAAACGCCCTGTGCAGCCCCCAAAGCCATCCCACCACTGACCCCAAGTGAGCAATCTTTGTTATACAACAGCCTGTCTCAGTGTTGTGCAAAAGATGGGCAAAAGATTAAACCAGTAGTCCTGTCTCTTGTGAGGGAGCATTCAGCGTCATATGTGCCTAAAACAGTGAGCTTGGATCTGCCAGATCCTCTCACAAGTCTTTATGAGAAAGAAATGAGAGATGTGAGTAGTGAGGAGCTGCAGAAAAGAACATAAGCTTTGTTTGAGCAGCTGTCAGTGAGTAAAGAGCAGGTAAGGTGGTATTTGTTTTCTGTGTAAAGTTATATCAATCATGTTTTAAATCATATTATTTAGGTAGTAATTTTGTATTTTCAGAGTGATATTGTTGAGGAAGAGACACGAGACCAGTCAAAGTCACAAATATGGTTCGAACAGAGAGCTGGTAGAATTACAGCATCCACATTCAGAGCAGCAACTAAAACGAACATCATGAAGCCTTCAGTATCACTCATAAAAAAAATATGTTATCCACTGTCATACAGTTTTTCAAGTGAGGCAACAAGGTACATACTATTCTCTATATTTACATATGTGGTTAGGATATTAATGTTTGTTTTTGTAAAAATAAGTTGTCAGATATTATTATTAACATTTCCTTTTGTATAACAGATGGGGCTGTAAACACGAAGCTGCAGCGATACAACACTATGGAAACCAACATCGGCTCACACATTCTGACGTTGTGGTGGAAAAGGCTGGGTTTACCATCTCCACAACTCACCCATTTCTTGGAGCATCACCAGACGGTGTTGTGTCCTGCAGCTGCTGTGGTACTGGTGTACTGGAAGTTAAGTGCCCCTTTTGTGTTAAAGATGTAAGTGTTTGTGATGCTGTAAATAGTGTTTCAGGGTTCTGTCTTGAAACAGATATGAATGAAAACTTAAGACTGAAACGTGACCATACTTATTTTTACCAAGTTCAAATGCAAATGTTTGTAACCGAAAAATCATACTGTGACTTTATCCTTTGGACAGAAAAAAAGAGTCTTGTTCACCTTTTGTTGAGCGGATCTTGCCAGATGAAGTTTTTGTTAGAAAGGAGTTACTAAATGCTGAAGAATTTTACAAGAAATGTGTCCTTCCTGAGTTAGTGGCAAAGATTTTCTCTGCACGTAAAGTTGTGTGTGATAATAGTCAGCAGTGGTGCTATTGTCGTGAGGCTGAATCTGGCAACATGTTAGTCTGTGCCTCTGGATTCTGTTCTGTACAGAAGTTCCACCAAACTTGTCTGGGAATGAAAAGGGTGCCTAAGCACTGGCTGTGTCCCACCTGTAGAAAAATAAATTCTCAAAAGAAAAGTTAAGCAGACAAGTTTATTATTATTATTACATGGACATTTACTGAGCAGGTACTATTGATTCACATACATTGATGAGAGCACAACAAACTTTCACTAGTTTATCAAGATACATGACATCATTTTCTTTGTCAATGTCAGTAAATGTAATGGGTACTGTGCTTTGTAATAAAGTATATTTTTGACGAACAACTCCTATGACTCTTTCGATGTGTATCCTGAGTGACGCCAAGCTTCGGGTGTTTTCAATCTCAACAGGATCTAACTGCTTTTTCCCACGAGTAAATGCTGGAATCTTTAGGTCGGCTTGGAGAGATTGAAGAGACTGACTAACATTAAAACCCCTATCTGCCAAAACTAGGTCTCCTGGAAGCAAGTGTGATAAAAAGTTACTATTTTCTGTGATAAACTTGTCACTTGTAGGCCCTCCCCACCCATTTGAGCACTAGCTAATAGGTTACTTGGCTTTTCAATAAAAATTTCAAAACAGTCAATAATACAAATAGTTTTTTCAAAATGTTTCTTACGGAACGCATTTGGAAGAGTTTTTCTTAAAATCTCTTTTTCAGGCCAGACAATAAGACTTGGAACTAATCTGCAATACATGACACTAATACAATGCTTTAGAAGTTTTGAAACTGTGGTGGAATCAACTCCAAAATAAAAAGCTAAAAATTCAAAGCTTAAATTCATCCGAAGCTTAATTAAAGTCAACAAAAACTGTTGAAATAATGTTAGGGCTGATTTAAGTTTGAGATGTGGGGAAACAACATTAAAAAGGGCCATGAGAATAGAAAATGTTGGTAGTCCAGTCAACAATAGAACTTTATCACTTTTTTGAAGAGCGGATTCAGAAAGTTCAGCTTTAGACAGTTTTTCCTTCAGAAACTGATTTTCTGCTCTTAAAGCTTGAACCTCCAACTTCAGTGAATTCTTTTGTGCTTTACAGTTGTCATTATTGCATGTAGGTCCAATGTCACAATCATTTAAAGAAATGACTGGTTCATTGTAGTCTCTGATAGAGGAGGGTCCGGCAGGAGGCTCACAGTCATGTGCTGGCCCAAAGTGTCAGAGGATTCACCAGGAGGAATGAAAGGTCCCATGGGTGCTTCAGGTGTTTCTTGCTGTTTTCTTTTTTTAGCTGCTTGTCGTCTGCTAAATGTGTCCATTAGCATCTTTCCTTTCTTCTTTACTGGAGAAGGCACATGTCTGAACACGGATGGGACGTAGTCGGGTGAAAGAGGATTGTCACTCTTTTTACCTTGGGACACAACACACAATTAATACAAATTCAGTACGGTTACAATGCAAATACAATGGAGAACAAGTATAACTATAAGTATAACTTCAAGCATTGAGCTGGATCTACACAACCCTTTGGCTGGCTATGTCAAAGTAAAAGTCTTATCACTTAGCTTAGCTAGCTATGGTTTCATATCAACATCTGCGGTAAGCACGGTCTCTGACATTTCCGTAGAAAGCCCTGAGCGTTATTTATTGAAATAACATTATAAAACAAGGTATAATGATTTGTTTTAGAAATGTTACCTGTTATGAAATGGTCACTGCACAAGCGGAAACCATTGGGCGACGGGATCCAGTGCTCGGTTTTCTTCAGTGTGCTTTGGGCTCGTTTAATTGCAGAAATCCACTTTTCCCTTCGAGCTGGATCTTTAGGAATACGATAGAAGGCTCTGGCTTTACCTTGCCCTCTATGGTTTGTGCATCCAGGTTCACAACATGAGTCTACCATCGTTGCTAAACGTGAACAATGTACGCTACAGGAGCTCTGTTGACCAAAATGTCCTACAGAGGGAGGGTCCTCATTGTCAACAACCTGGTGTCCTCCGCTCTGTGGCAGAGGCTGCAGTGCACACACCCACCTCCCTCTTTACTCTCACAGATCCAGAGACTGTGATCGCAGACTTCTTCTGGGACAAGCTGCACTGGATTCCGCAGGCAGTGCTGTTACTGCCGAAGGAGCAGGGAGGCCTGTTAGCTGGGCCAGAGGAGCTGCTGTGGAGACCATTGGCGGTCTCCATAGTGTTAGGATTTAACAGACAGAGACGGATCGTGGTGTGCCAAACTCTGGAAGTTTATTTAAGTTTCTCTCAAGTTCCACTGGTTTACTCTGTTTCTTTCTCTCAGACAGAATAAAGGCAGTACACAGTTTATATAGTCATTGTCACGTCACACATCGAAAGACATACGTGTCACAAAGAGACAGTCACATCATAGTCATAACATGGAGTCCTTGTAGAGTCCTTGTACAGTCCTGCACGTAGGCCATATTGCTATCTAATACTAACACCCTCCCCTTTGATCACATAATCACATGTGATCACTCAAATCGATCAATCAATAAAGTGGAAAAAG